CTATTTGGGGGCTGCCACAAGAGTTTTCTACTTTCCCCCAGCCTTCCACACCCTTTCAGGAAAAACAGCACTTTATGCATCCCCTGGAGTCTTTCCTGAGATGCAGGCCTTTCAGAGCCAGAACCCAGGTGGTTCTGCGTAAACCAGGATGGTTGAAAATCCTAATGGTCATCAGAGAGACATGCTATGTGTGTAAACACATCAGATTTGGAAGACTCAGTATGAAGAAAAGAATGTAAAATATCTCATCCTGTTTGATGTTGATTAGTGAAATTTTTTTTAATATACTGGGTCTGGGTGCAATAAAATATATTATCCAATCGAATTTCACCCACATCTTTTTTTCTTTTTTCTATTGCAGCCATTAGAAAAATTTAGATGCCATCCATCTTGCATTATACTTCTGCTGGACATGGTGTACCAGACTCTGGGTTCTGGGAGGCAGGGGTGGGCCTGTGCCACCATCTCCAGCTCTCCTGTGCCTGGCACAGGGCCTCACCCATATCAGGTGGATGGATTCTGCACAACAAATGGACTCTTGATCTATTAGATTCATGGACACCCGCCCCTTTGAAAAATTAGGGCAGAAAATATTTTTTTTAAAAACCTGAGAAAATGTTCGAGGTCAGCTTTGCCCCAGTAAGCGCCAGGCCTGTCTCAGTCCAGTCCTGATGGTGCTGAGGGGCTCCCAGCACAGCTGCTCTCTCCTTGCAGAGAAGCCTGCCAAGAATTATTTCAGACAGTTTATGTCAGCATTCAGTAGCTCATCGGCCTTTCATGGCACGCATAAACAACGTGATATATAGAGAAAACCTGCGTTTCACCCAAGTCTGCGGGACTTTGGTCCGGTGGGACAGGCTGCTGAGAGTCAGGTGCGGTCTCCGGTGGTTAACACGACTGTCACGTTCTTACTCATGAGCATCAAGTCCCTTGGTGGTTATATGAGCTGCCTTAGGGAAAGTGGCTGAGTATCTGGCATGGAGAGTTGATGATCATTCCGAAATGGCCCCAATAAACAGCTGGTCCAGGTAGCCAAGCAATGTCACATTGAAATGTCCAATGCCAACTCTACCCAAACCAAAATTATCTTTAGCAGATATTCCCCAGAATCCAACTGACGCCTATGATTAACTGCCTTTTTTGAAAAAGATTTGTTTAGAAAGACAGGGTGCTGGGGGGGGGGGGTGCCTGGGTGGCTCAGTCGTTAAGCGTCTGCCTTCGGCTCAGGTCATGATCCCAGGGTCCTGGGATCGGGCCCCACATCAGGCTCCCTGCTCTGTGGGAAGCCTGCTTCTCCCTCTCCCACTCCCCCTGCTTGTGTTCCCTCTCTCGCTGTCAAAAAAATAAAATAAAATCTTAAGAAAAAAAAAAAAAGAGATGGTGTGAGCACATGTGAGGGGTGGGAAGGGGCAGAGTGAGAGGGAGAGAGAAAATCCCAAGCAGACTCCCTGCTGGGTGGGGAGCTCGAGGTGGGGCTCAATCCCGCACCCGAGATCATGACCTGAGCTGAAGCCAAGGGTTGGATGCTCAACTGACTGCGCCACCCAGACGCCCCTACAATCAACTGCTTTACCCACAGAAGCCAGTTGGTTTGGGTATCTGGCTGCTAGCACCTTTGCAGTTAATTCACACTGGAAAGTGCCCAGGAAAGCTCTCAGCTCAGAGCTGGACGGTGTAAATTGTTTACCGTTTGTTTGTTTTTTATCTTAAAACTAATGTTAGTAGGATAATGGCCAACATTGATCAAATCTGCCCATTGTGGGCCCGGCAGCACTGCCTCACCGAATATTCAGAACAGCTCCATGGCAAATCAGGGCACTGAGTCTTAGAGTTTGCGGCTAGTAAGGGGCAGATCTAACGCTTGAAAATCCAGATCCAGGTGACCCCACAGCCTGGGGCTTCAGCCACCATGCAGACTCTGTCCATATAACCAAAGTTTTCAGGAAGCATGTGACAGTTTTTTAAGAAGTTAAAAAGATGTATAGACTACTTTAATCCCACCACCCAGAGGTAACTTTTGCAAACATTTTAAGGCCTGTTCTGTCACTCTTCTCTGTACATAATTCATATTTTTATAAAAGTGGATGCTATATATACTGTTTCATAATCGGCCTTCACTACCGAGCCATGCGTGTGGATGTCCCGCCAGGCCACAGAAATCCAGACCCCAGTGCAAGATGAAGATGCAGCACAGGCAATTCCCTCCCTCTCACCTGCGGCCTCATTGAGATGACCGGCAGAGACTAGCAGAGTGGGAGGCCACAGGCAGCAGGAGAGGAGAGACTTGACATTTTCGGGGTAGGGGAAGAGCAGGCAGAGATGTGGGTGGAGGAACTGCATCTCAGCGTAGATACTGGGGGCTGGGGCTGGGCAGAGGTGGGCCTGTGTCTCCTGTGGTCTCAGGGGCTCAGACCAGGTCTGGGGATGGGGCTGGCACACAGGGATTAACTGAAGCTCTGGGCTGCTTCCCCACGCCTGCCACATAGCAACTGCTCAGAAAGCCACATACCTCTTCTCCCAAAGTGATGGTAAAGATTCAGAGCAAACGGAACGCCTACGTTTCTCGTGGGAACGTCAGATGATACAACTCCTTTGGAAAACACATCAGCCATTTAGTATGTAGTTAAATATATACTTACCACGCAGTCTAGCTGGGCCACTCCTAGGTATTTGCCCAAGCAAAATGAAAACATGTCCACACAAAGACTGGTGCACTTATGTTTATAAAGCATCATTCAAAAGTGAACTGGCAAAGAACAAACATCAACTGATAAACAGTTTAACTATTGTGTTATATGCATTCAGTGGAATGCTACTCAGCAATAAAAATGCAATGAAGTGCCGTTAGATGCAAGAATGTGGATCTCAAAAACACTGTGCCGACCACAAAGGTCTAGAGAACACAACTCCAATCTGCAGATTAGATCAGTGGTTGCCCAAAGCCTGGGTATGGGTTGGGGTGTGACTGGGAAGGGGACCAAGACAATTTTATTTTGATTGCTGTGGTAACTACAAAACTGCACAAAAACTCATCAAAATATACATTTAAAATGGGACCATTTCGTTGTATGTAAACCAAATATCAATAAAATTCATTTAAAGAAAAAGAGACCTTTTCTTGTAAAGATTTTATCTATTTGAAAGAGAATAGAAGTAGGCGGAGGGGCAGAAGGAGAAGCAGACTCCCTGCTGAGCAGAGAGCCCCACGCTGGACTCGATCCCAGGACCCTGAGATCATTACCTGAGCTGAAGGCAGATGCTTAACACATTGAGCCACCCTGGTACCCCAAAAAAGAGACTTCTAAGTGGTAGAAATAAAAAGGTCAATAGAAAGGTTAGAAAATAAAGCCAAATATCTATTCAGAACATAGAAAAAATGACCCAAAAAGGAGGACTAGGTGAGAAATTATGGGGGGATCAGTTCAACATCACGCACACAGACTTTCTAGAACCAGAGAATGGAAGAACCTAAGAGAAAGGGCCCCTCTTGCAAAGTGAACAAAGATCCTATTTAGATGTGTTCTTGTGAAATTTCAGAATATTAGGAAAAAGACCTTAAAAGCATCCAGAAATAAAACTCATATGACTCCTACAAAAGAAGGATCACCCAACTGTCAATAGCAAGACACTAACGGAGTTGTGCGGTCACAATTCTGGGGGCAAACTTGGGATCTAGAAGTCTATGTTTGGCTGTGAGGGCAAATTAAAGGCCTTTTTGGTATGCAGACATCCCTTTCTGAGGACATGCTTATAATGCACTTCAGAGAACAAAGGACACCAAGAACAGGGAAAGCGTGGGACCAGTGGAGCAGTGGTCTGGAGGCCTGTGGGGCGATGTCCACAGTGATGGCTGGGCAGCAGGCCTGGAGAGGCCCGAGGGCTCTCAGACATACAACTCCAGGGGAAAAGGTGGGCATTTGGGGCAAGACTTAGCACAAGAGGCTGGGTCAACGTGAGGGATATGGTGAAGGCACACTTTTTGTCAATGAGAAAAAAAATACAGGCAGTTAGAAACTCAATAAATAAAACAAAAGCTGTAACATAAGTTGTGGTCCAAATACGGAGCAAACCAAAATGTGGCATTATTCTGGGCAACTCATGGAATATAATCATTTTAAGGCCATTGAGCATAGAGAGGAAAATGCAGCCATAAAGAGAAAAACCACTGATGGATTTCTAGCCTTGGGAATCAATCTACGAACAAAGCATGAAAAAAATTTAAGTATTTTCAATCTGTTCTGAGGGTAGGCAGCAACCTTGACCTTTGTATAAGCAAACGTCTAGATGTTGTGAGCTGAGAGGTGGGTGGAAGCAGAGGAGAGAGTTAAGGATGGGATCCCTATCGTCTGTGGTAGGAAAGGACAGATACCGTCCCACGCTGCTGGACAAGATACAGAGGTTTAAGTGCTAAATGTTACATAATGTTACACAGGTAACTGAGAAAAACCCAACAGCACAAAATTGTACTAAATGGAGATGGAAGATGTGAAGGGGTAGGTGAGAATACCTCCTCTAACCCCACCTGATGGGGCCCCAACCATCTGATGCTTGCTGTCTGTCCAAGCTCGCCTCCTGCCATCTTCCTCCCGCTCATCTGGCCTCCTTGCTGCTCTCCAATTTGCCAAGCTTGCTCCTGCTCGGGACATTTGTACCTGAGAAGCTAGGAGAGGCAGGGTGGGCAGCGGGGAGTTCATGAAAGGGCACCTGCCTGAGCTTCTCATCGGCTTGCCCCTTTCTGGGACACAAGGGCAACCCTGATGTTGAATATCCCTTGCTCACCTGGTCCAGGAGAAGGATGAATTCACCATAGCCCACCTGTATTTCACAAAAACAAAACAAAACAAAAAAGAAGCACGGAGAGTTCCCAAATGCTCTTTGCCCAGTTTCTCCTAAGGTTAACATCTTACGTATATATTGTACAAATATCAAAGTCAGGTAATTAATTCTGGTGGAATACTGTCTTTAGTCTGTTTGGGCCGCTATAACAAATTAACAGAGGCTGGGTGCTTAAAAAACAATTTATTTCTCACAGTTCTGGAGGCTGGAAGTCCAAAACCAAGTTATAAGCAGGTTTGATGCCTGTGAAAGTCCACTTCTTGGTTCATAGACAGCTGTCTTCTCAGCTCCTTTTCAAGGGTACTGAACCCATTCACGAGGGCTCCCTTCTCACGATCTAAGCACTTCCCAGAGGTCTCACCTCCAAACACCATCACACCGGGGATTAGGTTTCAATATATGAGGTTTTGGGAAAACAAATATTCAGTCTATAGCAAATATTGTCAACTACACTGCAGACTTTATTCAGATTTCATGTTTTTCCACACTAGTACTTAACCTAGTCCAAGCCAATCGGGAACTCCATGTTGCATTTAGTTGTCATTCTCTTTAGACACAGCCAATTTGGGGCAGTTCCTCAGAATTTCCTTATCTTTCAGGAGCTCGGCCCTTTTGAAGAGTACTGTTATGTTGTACCATGTCGTTGCGTGGATTTCTCTGAAGCTTTCCCATGATTTGATGGAGGGTGTGCACTTTTGGCAAGAAAACCACAGGAGTGCTGTTGAGTCTTTCTCCGTGCATTACTACATCAGGGGTCAATGCTGTTGTTTTATCTTACACCTTGATTACCTGCTTGAGGTGTGTTGGTCAAGTTTTTCCACTCTGAAGTTGCTATTTGTCCCTGTTAATAAATATCTTGGGGGAGAGATTTGAAGCAGTATCTGTCTCAAAACTTTTGCCCACTAATCTTAGCATCCATTAGATCTGGCTCCCGACAAGTACTACGCTGTCATTTGCCTAAAGTTGTTTTTCCAGTTCCCTATTCCTACATCTACTAATTGTGGTATTTCCGTGGGAAAGAGCTGTCCTTTCTCCCTCACTTGTTTACTTTTTATCTCTATGGACTCCTGGGTATTTATGTTACCCTGTAAGTTATGATTCACTAGGATCGTTTACTTTGCTGCTCATGTTGTCCCAGCTTTCGCCATCCAGCGTGGCTCCTGAGTCCTCCTACACCCCAACCTCACTTTGTGTGCACCCCCTTACTTTCTAGTGATACGCGATGCGCCAGGCTCATCTCATATTTTCCCTGTCCGGGCCCCGGAATTGGGTCACTTGTTTAAGAGGCCCGTTTGTATAAGTGCTGGCTGATTTGGAGTAGCAGGAGAGTGCGGTGATAAAGGAAGGAAGGGCACTCCCGGCCTCCTCCTCCCCCCACCGCGGCCCCAGGGAAGTGTACGTCCCACCAGGAAGGATGTGGCTACAGCAGGTGGGTGGCTCTTTGTGGACCACACCCCCCCACCCCCGCAGGGGCCCTGGGTGCTCCCCAAGGGGTGGTGTCGCGGCGCGGGGCTGCGCTGGGAGGAGCAGGGCGGGGACTCGGAGCACCCGTCGGCTGAGCGCCCCTCCCCGCCCCGGGGCCCCTCCCGGACTAGGAGGGCGGGGGGAGTGAGGATGGTGAGGATGCCTCGAGCCCTAGTGACCGCAGTACTTGCTTTCAGTCAGACCGACGCTCCGGGGACGGACACGCTGACCTCGCCCAGGTCATTCTGACCGCGTTTCACCCGCGACGGAACAGCGCTGGGCTGGAGCCCGCGCCAACACCGCAGGCGGCAAACACCTGGGAAACTCCGCCGGCATTCCTCCCGGCGGCGGGGCGCGGTCACGTGACCCGGACGCAGCCAATCGGCGGCGCCGGCGCGGCCTCGGGCGGAGCACGCGCAGAAGCGCCAGCGCCATTGCCTTCCGGCGACGGCAGCGTCCGCGACGGTCTGTGTCCGGGTCACGTGTCCGCGCCCTCGCCCCGGGGGCGGCTGGGAAGTGGCTGGCGCCGACCTCCGCCTCCGTCGGGCACCGCCCGGGCCCGAGTGCGTAGTCGAGGTCCTGGGTAGCTGCGGGGTGCGGGAGCGGGCGCTGTGCGGCGGCGACAGGTGCAGGCGGGGGTAACCAGGGCAGCCGGCTTGTGGTCACATGTTTCCCGCTACAGCAGGGGCACCTGTCGGGCTACTAGGAGGCAGCCGGGCGCTGGGGGCGCAGGCGGGCAGCGGGGGTGCTGAGGGTGTGGGCACTTGGGTTGCTGGGGGGCGCGGGTGCGGGGGGCCCTGGAGGGCCTGGGGGCGCTGGGGGGGGGGCCTGGGGCTGCTGGTGCTGGCGGTGCGAGCGCTGGGGGCGCAGACGCTGGGGGTGAGGGTGCTGGGCCTGGGGGCGCTGGGGGGGCCTGGGGCTGCGGGCGCTGAGGGCGCGGATGCTGGGGGCGCGGGCGGGCCTGCCGGGGACTGTGTGCGCAGGGAGCCTGGCGTGCTTGGGTGTGGCCTGGCTGCTAGTTGATGGCCGGGGGTGCCATCATGCTTCTGGGCCATGCAGGGCGCGGGGCTCTAGGGCTCCGGTCTGAGGCATCCCACGCTGCCCGGTTGTAGGAAGATAGGGTTTTATCCTAGAGCAGTCATACACTCCCAGGTTAGCAGTGCCTAATCGTGGTTTTGGCACTACCTGTCAAGGGCTTCGAGTTGTACGTGAAACGTACAGTACACAGTAGTTTCTGAAACATCGATTTTACTTCGTGAGTAAGGGGAAGAAGTACACGCTCAAGCACTTTGATGAGAGGGGCTGGTTGCTAAAGCTGTCGTCCCACCGTGAAGACCAAGGCCCCTTCTCAGGGATGATCTGGCTTCCCGGAGGGTAATTTCCAGCAGGCTGTTTACCTGTAAACAGGAAGATTGGTGTGTGTACTTATATTAAAACCAGAGTACCTCCTGCACAAACAGAGAGCCCACGAGGATTAAAATCGTAATCGAAATGCCTGTTGTTCGGAGACTCTGAAAAAGAGCCAGGATCCCCCACACCAAACCCCTTAGTTCACCTTCGTTAATTTATTTTATTTTTTTTTTCACCTTCGTTAATTTAAAAGGCCATTGTTGGCCCCCTGCTTCACATGTGCCAACACCACCACTTCTCTCTGCTCTCAGTCTTAGCCACAACTGTAAACTCACATTCTGAAGAACAGAAATATAAAAACTAACAGCCCTAGAGGAAGACAACACTTAGACTTCTACAAGATCCTTCCGTCTACGGTTACGCCTGCTGTTCCCCAACAACAGGCACCCTCATGTCTCTTCAGATTACACTTTCCGAGACCAGAAAACCCTGCCCAGATGCCTAAGAACAAATCAGCACCTTGTCCTTGGCATAGGGTCCAGCCTCAGTGTCCCAGCCAGCTCCTGAATCCATCCTTGGCTTATAGGAAGAGTCACAGGAGAGGCTCAGGACCCTGGGAACAAGGCCAAGGACAAGCCTAGGTCAAAGACACGGCTGAGTGGAGGCTGGTGCTGGGCAGGCTGGGGACTCGGCGGCCTCCCTCTGAGATCCCAGTTGTCATCCACAACAGCACTGCCCATGGCCTCTGAAAAGGATTTTAAAATTCTAAATGACTCAAAGCCAGGAAAACAAACTATCCATAGCCCACCACCCCAAGTAACATCCAGTAATTGTTTCTCTTACGTCTTCTATCACGGGCCATGACTGGACGTCTAGATGACACTGGGTATTTGGAGTCCTGGAAAATGGGGAAAAGTCGGGAAGAAAGATTTATCGTTAGAGAAAACTTAGTTTTCCGAGCTGGTTGTAAGGCAACTGGCAGTGGACAGGCGGGTCTGTGTAAGGGGACACCCCACTTCCTGCTCTGGCTTGGAGGAGAGGCAGCCCCCGAGAGCACTTAGTCTTAGCTTCTGCCTTCCAAGCTCATCCCAAGATTGTTCTAAAGTTTCAACACTTTCAATTATGAAAAAGCACACAAGATTCAGACATACAGAAGTAGAGGAGAGAGTGGAACGGCCCCTGTGGATCTGCTTTGCCTGTTCTAGAGCCCTGCACTCCCACTGAAACCCTGGCCTCCTTAACGCAGCCGATGGCTGAGAGAGCCACGCCCGCGGTGCGCGTCAGGGTCTGCTCCTCCCATTGGGGTGCTCTGTTTTGTCCGGTGGACAGCTTACTTATAACTGTTGATGGACGTTTGGGGCTGGAACGCAGCTGCTACGAACACTTGTGTTCACATTTTCATTTCTCAACAAAACAGCTTTCTTGATAAACCTCCTGAATATCCTTGCCTGGAACAGGGCCCTGTTCTCTACAGAGGAAACAGGTGTGACCTAGGAGCTAAAAACACCACCAGTGTCCGTGGGGCTCAGCGGAGTTCTGTTTTTGAATAGGAAATACATGCACAAGAAAGTAAATTCAAAGGTACCAAAGGCGTAGACTTAAGTCCCACTCCAGTCCCTGTCATGCAGGTCCCTCCCCAGAGGCCACCCCCGTAGTTTCTTCTGTACCCTTCCAGGAATAGTGTATCCGCGTGAGAGCGAGTCAGCGGCTGCTACCTCTTTCCTCCTTTTACATCTGGTTCATCCTATACAGCGTTGTGCTCCTTTTTTAAAAAGATTTTATTTATTTATTTGACAGACTCAGCGAGAGAGGGAACACAAGCAGGGGGAGTGGGAGAGGGAGAAGCAGGCTTCCCGCCGAGCAGGGAGCCCGATGCGGGGCTCGATCCCAGGACCCTGAGATCACGACCTGAGCCACCCAGACACCCCTAGTGTTGTATTCCTTGTTTATGATTATTAATGTATTTTAAAGATCATCCCATACTGGCACATAGGGGGCTGTCTCTGGTTATTAAAAGGTAGGGGTTTTATTTTCAACGAACTTACCTCAGAGAGATCTCATATTTTCAGTTAGATCACAGAAAGGAGATTTTCAAAGGAAGTAAACCTTGCCTTTGAACTATGGTACAGCAAGTAGACGAATCCTCTTTATGAAAGTAACTTTTTGAGCTTAAAATTTAGGAAGTGAAACTTGGGTTTAAAGCAAATATTTCTTAGATATAACACCAAAAGCATAATAAAAGACACTGATAAGTTCCTTTTAAACTAAAATCTTCTGTTCTTCAAGAAACCTTGTTAAAGAGTGAAAACAGGAGTGCCCAGCTGGCTCAATTGGGGGAGCGTGCAACCCTTGATCTCTGGGTTGTGATCTTGAGCCCTGTGTTGGGTGTACAGATTACTTAAAAATGAAATCTTAAAAAAAAAGTGAAAAGCAAGCTCCATGATGAGAGACAATATTTGCACATCATAGATGATAAAGCACTTGTATCCAGAATATGGGAACAACTCATATTCAATAGAAAACCTGATTTTTTAAAAAAAATGGACAAGGGTGGGGCACGTGGGTGGCTCGGTTGAGCGACTGACTCTTGGTTTTGACTCAGGTCATGATCTCGGGGTCGTGAGATCCAGCCCCATGTCTGGCTCTGCACTCAACAAGGAATCTGCTTGGGATTCTCTCTCCCCTCTGCCTCTGCCCTTCCCCCTGCTTGCGAGTACGCATGAGCTCTGTCTCTCAAAATAAATAAATCTTTAAAAAATCGGCAAGAGATTTTAAGATATTTCACCAATGAAGAGCTACAGATGGCAAATAAGCACATGAAAAAATATCAACATCATTAAACATAAAGGAAATGCATACTAAAACCATATTGAAATACCACCACATTCCTATTACAATGGCTAAAACTAAAAAGGCCAATATATCAAATGTTGGCAAAAAAGAGAGGAACCAGGACTGTCATATGGTGCTGGTGGGTATATAAAATGGGAAATAGTTTGACAGTTTCTTAAAAACTTAAATAGAATCTAGTATGATTGCCATTCCCCTCCTTGATGTTCCCCTGGGAGAAATGAAAGTCTATGTCCATACAGAGACTTGTACTACCGTGTTGTGAGAAGCTTCTCTGTGATAGCTGGGAGCCAGGAGCCAACACGTGTCAGGGTTGCGGTGTGGCCATCCAGTGGAATACCGCTCAGCAACAAAAAGGAACGTGCTACCACCCATGGGCGCTACAATGTGGATGCATCTCAAAATAATTGTGCCACATGAAAGAAGACCAAAAAGCCAAGCCGAAAACACGTGCTGTGGAAGTCCAAAATGTGCAGGGCATACTCTAGTGACTAAACCAGACCAGAGTTGCCTGGAGGGGGTGGGGTGGGGGTGCGGGAGAGGGCAGGAAGAACCTTTGGGGTGGAGAGGTTCGTGGGTGCGCATGTGTCAGAACTTGTCAAACTGCACGCTTTAAATGGGTGCAGTGAACTGCAGGGCAAGCATCCTTCAATAAAGCAGTTAAAAACAGCGACCAATCAATCCATCAGGAGCTACAGACACATATCAAATGTGCCCTAGCAATTCTGCTCTGTGGAACCCACCTAAGACAACGGAAACATGCCCACACATGTCACAAAGCCCAGAGCAGTTTTATTCACAATGGCCTCAACCTAAATGCCCATCAACGGGTGAACAGAAAACAGGAGTTGAGACCTCAAAGCCTAAAATGTTTATTATCTGGCTCTTGACAGAAAGGGATTGCTGACCCCTGAACTCGGCATGAATAAATCAATCACCTGAGAAACCTTGTGCTATGAGAAAAAAGCCAGACACCAAAGACCACAGACATGATTCCATGTACATGAAGCATCTAGAACAGACAGGTTAGAGACAGAAGCGGCTCAGTGGTTGCTCGGATGGGAATGCGGGCAGGGATCGGCTGCACCTGGCCCCGGGGCGCTCTCTGGTGGACACAAGTGTTCTAAAACAGCTCTGAAAACTTGCTAAAACTCAC